TCCCCTCGTCCTTCTTTTCATTAAACTAGCCATTCCCAGTTCCTGCAACCGTTCATCATGTTTTAGCCTCCAGTCCCCTAATCCTCTTTGTTGCTCTTCTCTGCACTCTTTCTAGAGTCTCCACATCTTTTTTTATATCATGGCCACCAAAACTGGATGCAGTATCCTAAGTGTGGCCTTACCAAGGCATTATAAAGTGGTATTAACACTCCACATGATAAATAATAAATAAAATAAATAATAACGATGTGAACATTTCACGCCATGATTGCTATCTAAAACCGGATGCAACTGGAGAGAACTGGAGTGCCAGCAAGATGGCGTTTTCACCCATGATGGAAAGGGGTCAGAGTTTTCTCATTATTGTGAGATGTTCCATCCATGCCAGTGGCAAAGTGGCTTGACGCACAAAAGGAGAGCTCTTTCGATGCCAAGGGGGAGTGTGAAGGCAACGCAACAGCACAATAGAGCCCGGAGGAGACCTACCATTGTGTGTTGCTGAGAGGTAGGAGTCCTAAGGCCGCAAGGCTCTCGCGTCAGCAGAGAAACTGGCTGAAATTCCTCAAAATAGGGCTTGTTGGGAAAACTCACATGCAAAGGAAGGTGAAAGGCTGGGAGGCCGCCACTCTCTTCCTCTTCCACTTTCTGTCTGCCTGTCACCATGGCTACCTCTCCATCTGCTTCCCCATACGGAGAAGCTGGTTGCTTGGAAGACATCCTACAAGGAACAAAAGAGGGGAAAATAATGAAACCTCCACATAAATCCTTAATGCCGTCATTGTGTGGTTAGGGGCCATTGTAACAGAAATGCCTTTTTGTGCTAGCCGAGGGCAGGAAGCCATCCAAATACCACCGCAAAGCACACACAACGCAGAACAATGGCCAAGCAGGTAGCAACAGAACAGTGCCTGTTTGTTGTGGGAATAATGCACTAATATAGCACTCTCTTGTATGCCGGCCTCTTAAAACACATTCAAGGAGGTGGGAAGAAAAACTACCTAAGAACAACCACATAATGAAAATGCAATTCTATTTTGTGCATTAGTGGTGGGGAGGGAGAGAAATAACCCCTCTATTTTAGAACTCCGAAGGAGTCTTGCAAAATGAGGGAATGGAACAGATTTTTTTTTTGGTGTTGATTCGACAGGAAGGCAACAAAGCTCAAACTTTTTTTTTCTCCTTTTGTCTGCTCAGTTAGTAGAAGCACTGGCCCAAATTACATCCTTCTTGGGATTTTTGACGGTTCAGTGGAAACGTATTTGTATGACTCCGCAGGAGGACTATCCCCATCGCTCAAGGCTAGTACCAACAAAAGAGTTATCCGTAAAGAAGAAACAACACTGCCTTTTCAGTTCAGCTTCAGAAATTGAGCAGTTTGGCACACCATGAGTTAAGCAAACGGGTTTCAATAAGCCAGTTTGATCTAGCGGTTAAGGCACCAGGTTAGAAAGTGGGAGCCATGAGTTCGTCAGTGGTGAAATTCAAATATTTTTTTTACAACAGGTTCTGTGGGTGTGGCTTGGTGGGCGTGGCAGGGGAAGGATACTGTAAAATCCCCATTCTCTCCCTATTCCAGGGAAAGGATACTGCAAAATCTCCATGGCCCCCTCACTCCAGGGGAAGGATACTGCAAAATCCCCATTCCCGCCCCACTCCAGGGGAAGGATACTGTAAAATCCCCATTCTCTCCCAACTCCGGGGGAAGGATACTGCAAAATCTCCATGGCCCCCTCACTCCAGGGGAAGGATACTGCAAAATCCCCATTCCCGCCCCACTCCAGGGGAAGGATACTGTAAAATCCCCATTCTCTCCCAACTCCGGGGGAAGGATACTGCAAAATCTCCATGGCCCCCTCACTCCAGGGGAAAGATACTGTAAAATCCCCATTCTCTCCCTACTCCAGGGGAAGGATACTGCAAAATCTCCATGGCCCCCTCACTCCAGGGGAAAGATACTGTAAAATCCCCATNAGATATAGAGTGGGAATGGAGATTTTGCAATATTCTTCCCCCAGGAGTGGGAAGGGAATGGGTATTTTGCAATATCCTTCTCCCGATAGTGGAGAGGGAATGGAGATTTTGCAATATCCTTCTACAGATATAGAGTGGGAATGGAGATTTTGCAATATTCTTCCCCCAGGAGTGGGAAGGGAATGGGGATTTTGCAATATTCTTCCCCGATAGTGGAGAGGGAATGGAGATTTTGCAATATCCTTCTACAGATATAGAGTGGGAATGGAGATTTTGCAATATTCTTCCCCCAGGAGTGGGAAGGGAATGGGGATTTTGCAATATTCTTCCCCGATAGTGGAGAGGGAATGGAGATTTTGCAATATCCTTCTACAGATATAGAGTGGGAATGGAGATTTTGCAATATTCTTCCCCCAGGAGTGGGGAGAGAATGGAGATTTTGCAATATCCTTTCCACAGGAGTGGGGTGGGAATGGAGATTTTGCAATATCCTTCTACAGATATAGAGTGGGAATGGAGATTTTGGCAATATCATTCCCCCAGGAGTGGGGAGAGAATGGAGATTTTGCAATATCCTTCCCCCAGTAGTGGGGAGGGAATGGAGATTTTGCAATATCCTTCTACGGATATAGGGTGGGAATGGAGATTTTGCAATATCCTTCCCCTGCCACACCCACCAAGCCATGCCCACAGAACCAGTAGTAAAATAAATGAATTTCACCACTGATTGAAACTATGGTTAAATTTGTCTATATGTATGAAATTAAACAATTTTCATCATGTCTTCTGACTACTACTTGATGTTTGTAAATGCATTCTGCCAGTGTTTTACCTGTTTGTTCTATGTAGTGGTTGTTGCAATCCTTATACTATATGTTGTAGATGACAACATGTTTTTTTTTTTCTTGTGGGGTTATTGGGACTCTTAGTCTGCTTAGGATGTTTTGAAGGGCTTTAGTTGCCTTGTGTGCTATGCTGATTCCATGTGGTCGTAGTAGTCTGTTGGTGGTTTCTGAGCAGTGGTGGGTTATGACTGGTATGTCCCTGTATGGGGGTACTGGTGCCTGCTGGAGCACCAGGTACCATTCCAGTATGGTGCTCTGGAGAGTCCGCCCACCCTCCTTACCTGTATTTGAGCCAATTGATGCTTCCATGCATGGAGCGTAAACTGAGCAGCTGGAGCGTTGCAGAGCATTGCAGACAGAGAGTACGCATGCGCATGCTGCATGCATGCATGTGGTGGACACCCGGTTCCATTGCACCGTACTGGTTGCAACGGGATCCAGAACCCACCACTGTTTCTGAGATATTCTTGATGTATAGCAGTGTAATTCTTTTTAGGATTTGTGTTGGTTGTGCCAACCATTCTCTTTTATTAATCCAGACAGGTCATGTGTCAGCGTTCCAAATACCATGTAGAATCAAATCAGAATTGAAGGCAACACTTTGCTTAAAGTTCCAATTTAATAAAGCAGGCATGTTGGCACATAGCTGTGGGATCCCAACTCTGG